ATACCACATTTTTCCGCTCTATGCTGCGATCTAGGGAAACTATTAATGAACACATTGCAGCGGGCTCCACTCGTGGCTCCGTTAGGTGTAGTCAAAGTTAGATGTGGACTCATTAAGTCAACTCTTAAAAAATTTGGAATTCTCTGAATAACACTTTTTTGACTATTTGCCTCCTAATATAGAAGAATGTACAACTTACCAATGTATTACAATTTCATCGTGTATCATGTTTTCTCACAGGTTATTAATTTGGAAGCATTATACATAATTTACAACTTCCATGTACTGTCTATGTGGTACCTACGGTCTATCATTTCATTTTGTAAATCTACTCTTGATTTGGGTTTCTATTGCTACAAATAAAAAGTACTAATTTTGTTCAAATTCAAAAACTCTCGTTATATTTTCAAAAAAAAAGAACAGAAAATTGGGGTTAGACAATAATTTTGCATGAATGATTATTTTATACTGTTTGAACTTTAACATTAAGCTCCGGTCTAACGAAACAAACCCAAAAGAAAGAAAGAGAGAGCAAAGTCTCATTTGGTGTGAGCGTGTTTGTCTCCTACCATCTCCCATTCTCAAATCTCTTTGTTCTCTTTCTCTGTAACTCTAAACCCCTAAATACAAACAATATTACTCAATTCCTTGAGAATACACACAACATAAATGGCATTGATCAGATCAAGAGAGGCAAGAACAACACAAGAAAACCAATTAGACTCCAAACGATCCGGCGAACGGAAAGTCCCCGTCGTTTATTATCTCTGCCGGAAAAATGGACAGCTCGATCACCCACATTTCATTGAAGTCTCTCTCTCTTCTTCCCACCACGGTCTCTATCTCAGAGGTATAATACAATCTCATCTTTTCCTCTGTTTTACAGCACACAAGAAACCAAAAAAGATTTTCATAAAGTTTCCATCTTTTGTTTTTGTCAGATGTGATAAATCGATTGAATGATCTCCGAGGAAAAGGAATGGCTTGTCTCTACTCTTGGTCCACTAAACGGTAAACCTCTTCTTCTCCACCGTCGGATCTGCACATCTTTCTCACCGTCCGATCTTCTGATTTTCTTCTTAGGAGTTACAAGAACGGATTCGTATGGCACGATTTATCAGAGGACGATCTCATCTTCCCTGTTCACGGCCAAGAGTACGTCCTCAAAGGCTCCGAAATTCTCTACCTTGATAGCAACTCCGGCAAAGAATCCGATTTCCCCACCGTCGTCACTCGCCGGCGAAACCAATCCTGGAGCTCCATCGACTACAAAGTCTACAGAGTGTCCGAGTCGACCGCCGAGTCAACTCGTGAACTCGCGGCAGACGCTTCGACTCAGACTGACGATCTCCGGCGGAAGAAAAAACCGACGACGGAGAAGGAGGAGAAACCACCGGTGAATGAGATCACGGAGCTGAGCAGAGAAGAGATGATTTCGCCTCCTCCACAAGACTCAGATTCGAGCCCCGAAACACTAGAAACACTGATGAATTCCGATGGACGGTTGATATTGATTCCAGAAGATCAGGAATCGAATCGGACGGTTGAGAGTTTATCAAGCGGGAAGATGCGAGCATCGGCTGTTTTGATGCACCTTATATCGTGCGGTGCGATGTCGTTTAAGAAATGTGGGCCCACGATTATGAACGGGCGCAGCGAGTGTACGGTGAGACGTGGAACAGGGAATTATAGGCTGGAGAGGGCAGAGAAGGAATTAAGGAGTTTTGGAAGGGTAAAATTGGAAGAGAAGGAGTATTTTAGTGGTAGCTTGATTGATGAGAGCAAGAAGGAACGTGTTCCTGCTTTGAAGAGGTCTTCTTCTTACAATACTCGCAGGTAAAAAAAACATCAATTACTCACTCTTCTAACTAAAGAATTTGGACCATGCTAAGTAAATCACATTAGTCTTTTTAAAAAGAAAAGGTCGCGGTTTTAGGTGTTTATGTGTGCTAATGACTATGATAATTAACAAATGTTGTCTTAGGAGTTCAAGGATGGGGTTGAAGCCGGAGATATCGAAAGTTTGTGACGACGGTAGATAGCAATAACAAAGCCAAGCTAGGTAACTGAAAAAAACGATCAATACTAGAAAGTATGATCTTGCATGTAAATATGTTGTAGTTTGGGGGCTTGGTGTTTTTTTGGAGGTCAATATGAATGTGATTCGTCTTGAGATCTTTTGATTTATGTTTTTTCGTTGCCTTTTGGTTATTTTCATTCCTTTTCAATTATGATATTGCTCATATGGAACAGATAGAGTTGTATAACTATTTAAATTATGATTTTGGGAAAACATTATGGACAATATTTGTTAAGGTGACATTAAAAAATATTTGAACTACATTGGGCAATATGGTGTTTGTTTTGGTTTTAATCTGATTTGGGTGTACAGAAAACCCAGCAACTGTATATTGAATTAAACTACATCATCTTTACTTGTATAACAAAATGTTCACTTAGTTAAGGTTTGGTCCAACTTGTCTATTACATTTAGTTTAATTATGGAGAAAAATAAACCTGCTGAGCTAGTCCGAAACCAAACAAACAACACATGCACAAAATGAACAAACGATCGAAATTTTCTAAACACCAATGTGGTGTTCGTTTGTCCTATAGCTTGTG